TAAGAGTCTATTTAAGAAATACTTACTTCCCAGTTTCCAATATCAAGAATCTGTCTTTCTCTTTAGAAATGCAATGTTTGTATTATATAATTTTAATATTATATCTGCTTTCAATACACCATTATATCTGAAGAATTTTCACTTTTGTATTAAATCCAGTCCTTTTAGTGAAATCACAGACTATTCAGACTATTCAGATCAAGATATTTCAAAAACTAAATTTAGGAGCCTTAACACACTTCTCTCTACATGCATATCTTTCTCTGTTGGTATTCTGTCTTGTGAAGACTGGCTTCTTGGTTTCACTAGAGCCTCATTTGCATCTCCTCAACTAAGGGGATTCAGGGAAATTTGTTTAGGTTTCTCTTCTTTGTGCAAAAAGGTGGGCAATTTTAGGAATCACTTCATTTGTTTTTTTGTCTTGGGGGTCATTGTTTTCCTTCATTGCCTGATGTACATGGTTTGGAGAACTGTTGTCTCATGAATTTTATGTTTTTGAGTCATTTCCGATGGGAGAGTAAGTCCAGTCTCCATCTTAGACAGAAACAGAAGGGAGAGTCTACATGATTGATATATTTCTCTTCCTGAAAATAAGCCTTGTAATGAGATAAAGTGAGTGGACAAAATATTTAAGTTCATTCTCTTAAATCAGGAACAAGACAAATGTGCCTATTTTCACCACTCCAATTAAACAAAACTCCTACACAGCAATCAGATAATAAAAAGAAATCAGAGGCCTCTAAATTAGAAAGGGTGAGGTAAAATTATCTTTGTTTGCAGAGGATATGCTCTTATATACAGAGTATCCTAAGAGCCCCACCAAAACCTGTTAGAACTAATCAAGAGATTCAGAAGAACTTCAGAATACAAAATCACAGAAAAATCAGCTGCATTTCTATATACTGACAATTGAAACATTTGTAAAAGAAATAGAACAATCTTATTCACAGTAGCTTTTAATAGAAAAGTGACCCTTTGCTACATACTCTCCAAGAGCACCAGTGGAAGGGATATTATTACCACTGGGAGGTTGAAAATCTAGGCCCTTTGCTCAGTCCTTGCCAGCGGGGATAAAGTTAGGCTGCATTGGTGGTGTTAGGTTGATATAGGAATTTGTTGTCTTAAAGTTTTCCATCTTGCTAGACTGTATCATTACTTGAATTTTGACTAGCAAGAATTGACTTTTCTTGAGATAGTTTAACCTGGTGGCATTGATTGATTTCTATCTGCTCTAATATCCAGTCAGACTTACAGGAGGAAAAAAAAGAAAAAGTCAAATAAGGGTAATCACCATTATGTCATTCCTGTGTCTTGAAGTCTCAGTAATCTGTCTTCTCTCTACCTTTCAGATTTTTCCTAATTTTGTTTTGTATATAATGTCTAGAGTTTTCACTGTTCTCATTGAAGGAATGTAGAGAAGAGTATTTACTCCGTATTATCTCAGATCTAGAAGTCTTCAGCTGATTTTAAAGTACTGACTTTGGTGGAATATTATATGTGATTTGGTAGTGGGTGTATGTGGTGACATAACTAAAGAGGTGTGAATTTATTTTGTTAAATGTTATACAATGGAAATCAGTGCAACCTCAATAAAAAAATTAATAACAAAATACTGAGTTTACATTCAGTAATTATGCTAAGCTCACTTACTAATTTGACTTATTTGTGGATTCCTTTGAATTTTCCATACACATACAGCATCATCTATGAATAATGAATGTTTTATTCTTTCATTCAAATTCTTATGCCATTTTATTTATTTTTCTTTCCTCATTGCACTGTCTCAACCTCCAGAATAATGTTGAATTAAAGTAGGCATGATATTCTTATTTCTGTCCCATTTTCAAGGTGAATGTGTTTAATCGTCAACAGTGAGCATGATATTTATTTTAAGTATTTTTGTAGATATTGCTTATCAGGTTAAATATTTCTCAGTATAAGACTCTCTGGTGTTGGTAGTTTACAATCTTTTAAATGAATTTCTGTTGAATTTTATCCAATGCTTTACCACATGTATCAATGTGTAAACATGATCCATTACATACCTAGATTTTTTAATGTTAAACAAGCTTTACATACCTGGAATAACACAAGTTGTATTATCTTTTTTAATACTAACAATAGATTCAATTTGCTAGTATTTTATTAAAGATTGTTACATTCATGTCTATAGATGAAATTAACTTTCTTTTGTCATAACATCATTGTCTTTGGATTTTGGAATTAAAGATATAGTGGCATTGTACAAAAAGGAAGAACAATGCAAAAAAAAAATATATATATATGTATATATATATATATATATATATATATATATATATATATATGCCTCCGGTGGCACAAGAGGTTGAGTACAGTGCTGTGAAGCTGTCCGCAGCCTCTGCAGCATGGGTTCAATTCCCAGCCAGCCAGGAGATACCCACATGGCGTTGCAGACCTCTCCTGTCCCGCCCGCTGCTCCCCTCAGCAGTGTTTTCGGCCTGTCTACCTGTTCTGCTCCCCACTCTGTCTCTGGTGAATCCTCTTGTTAATAATTTTTGAGTATTAGTTTATATACACAGAAGAAATCTTTTTTTGTTTTGCAATTGTGATTTCTTTATTGAGATATAAAAATGTGTATGAGTCAGAGATAAAGGCAATCTTTTGTTTTAACATGTCAGTTTTCCTAAGAATTTCTGAAGAGCTTTATTTATATTTATATTTAGTTATGTATTCTCATTTATCTTATAGAATTTAGTCATATTTATTTCTTATATTAAACATATCCTAAGAATACTGATTTTATCTTATATACATTTTATCTTTCCCTCCTACTCCAAAGTGTTGAATAGCTTTTTTTATTCCTAAGTACCACTTTTTCCATATGTCACTGATTAGTGGGAAAATGTCTAGTAGTAATATAGTCTATACATATTAATCTCTAGTAAATAACCCACTGAAATTTTTCTTTATCATTAATTGCCATAATTCTGATAAATTTGGACCCTTAATTACTTCCTATGTTAGTAATGCCATTTTTAAAGTACTGACTGGCAATTCAAACACTGGCCTATGATTACATAGACACTCTCTATAGATGAAATCACATAACTTACGGTTGTTTGCATTGTGAGTTGGATTACTTCATTAACTACTCAGTATTGAAATATGTGTCTAAATCTTGTGACAACAGTGGTGGTATAACCGTAACTGTTTCAATATCTGTTATAAGAGTTATGGGAAAAAGTTTGATTATTATTTCTCTAACATTTCTAAAAGTGCTTCCCATATCTCAATGAAAAATTTAAAATTTATCTTTCCAAATATGGGATAAAAAATCTGAAAAATATTTTTCTTTTTTTTTAAGATTTATTTATTTATTTATACAAGCACTGGGTACAGTCAGAAGTGCGGGAGGGTGAGAGAATTCACCAGAGCCAGAACGGGGAGCAGAGCAGGCAGAAGGACCGAAGTACACTGCTGAGGGGAGCAGCGGGCGGCAGGAGAGGTCTGCGCGCCATGTGGGACCCTCCTCTGGTGGCCGGGGAGCAGCCAGGGATCAAACACTCAACCGCTGTGCCACCGGGGAGGCCCTGAAAAATATTTTTCTTAATGCTTCTCATAATGATAAAGAAGATATAAATATCTCCTTCATTTATTCTACATGTTTTTCCATATTTTATTTTGACCATTAAAATTGTTGACTATAAAAATAATAGTCAAAATCTCAGTATTCAATGAATTTACCTAACATTCTTAGCTTCTGTCTCTGTCATACAAATTATTGCTGAAATTGCTTCTATAATCTAAAAGCTCTAAAAATGAAAATCTTCATAATTCATTTTTATTTTAGAATTTATACCTTATTTATATATAGTTTGTTCAAAAGTTGAATCTCAATTTAATTTTCTTATCTTTGATTACAAAATCTTGGTAAGCTGTCACTAAGTGTTTGAATTGGTCTTAATGTTATCCTCAGTTTTTGAGGATAACAAAAGTCAGTAAGGCATTTTCTAGTGATAATGTGACAGAAATACTAACTATGCCCAAAAACTGATAAAGGCGTCATGAACTCATTTATGAACATTTTGTAGCATCCTCCACAAACTAGTCACAGTTGATCATACTGTTGTTCCATTATGGCAATCAACCAATTTACAATTTCACCATCTGTATCCTTCTGTCACTGAAAAAAAATAACTGTAACAATAATAATTGTGAGCTAGACACCAAACTTGATACATTCTCATCTATTGTCAATTTTAACCCCCTCCCCTCCAAGAACACTGAGAAGTAGACATCATTCTCTATATACTGATTAAGGAAATTGGGGCTCCAAAAATTTCAGTTTTTTTTTGTCTAGATTCACTTAGCTTGTAATTCAAAGACGGCTATTTGAATCCAGGTTATTTATTCTCTCAATTACACTACTAGATAATAGTTTATAATAGGGTGGGAAAGTGATGAAACTGATATATCCCATTAGTTTTATGTATATAAAGCATATATATGTGTGTGTGTATGTGTTTGTGTGTGTCTATACCACTAGTCATATAAATCTGATCCAATATAACTAATTTAATTGCTATCCCTTTAAATGTTCTTGAGAGTAAATAACATATAAATTCCTTTTCAATTTATTGCAGACAATTTATTGCACATCTGTTGCAAGGTACATATGAAAGTGGTGAGAGTTTAGAAAGGATAGTTTGACCAGTATATACAGTAGCAATATGCATAGAAAGAATGGATGAAATAAAATTTGATCAAATGAGTATATAGGATGGAAGAGCACAAACTGATAGAAAAGTAGAAATCATATTTCCTTCAGGGAAGAAAGGAAGCAGAAATAGAATCATTCATTATGAAAGGAGTTTTTCTGAGATTAGTTTAATGATAAAGCCATAATTAGGAATATTATAATTCAGTGGAAGAAAACTAGTCTATATCTTTTAACTCATTAGTGAAAAGTAATTTGTTTAAGCTCAGATTCTCTAATCTCAAAAACTCACATCAGCTTCTCACATATCCTGCTTTTTCCGAGCAAGTCCACTCCTATCCCACAGCTTCCTCATGGCTGACTTGACTTCTTTGTTCCGAAGAGTGTAGATGAGGGGATTCAGCATGGGGGTGATAACATTGTAGAGTACAGATACCATCTTGTCCACAGAAAAAGAGGAGAAGGGACGAGCATAGATGAAAATACAGGGTCCAAAAAAAAGTGTTACCACCATGAGGTGGGAGCCACAGGTGGAGAGTGCCTTATGCCTTCCCTCTTTGGAGCGAATCCTGACCAGGATAGTAGTGTAGGAAGAAACTAGCACCACAAAGGAACTGGTAGAGATCAACCCACTGTTAGAGACCATTAGCAATTCAATGACAAATGTGTCTGTACAGGCCAGTTTGATGACGGGGGGCACATCACAAAAGAAGTTGTCCACCTGGTTTGGCCCACAAAAGGGCAGGCGGATGGTAAGGATCGTCTGGACAGTAGAGTGGACAAAACCTCCCGTCCAGCAGGCAGCTACCAACACACAGCATAGTCCTCGACTCATGATAGTAGTATAGTGCAGGGGGCGGCAAATGGCAACATAACGATCATAAGCCATGACCGTGAGCAGGAACATCTCAGCTGCCCCTACAAAATGCAGGAAGAAGAGTTGCACAATGCATTGGTCATAAGGAATGAGCTTTGTATTATGAAGAAAGTCAGCCAAGAGCTTAGGGGTAGTTACTGTTGAATAACATAGGTCAAGGAAAGAGAGGTTGCCGAGAAGGAAATACATAGGTGATGAATTCAGATGGCTAGCAGAGGCCACTGTGAGCATGATAAGGACATTGCCTACCCAAGTGCACACATAGAAGAAAAGGAATAATCCAAATAGCCCTGCCTCAGTAGATGGGGATTGTGAGAAGCCAGCCAGCACAAATTCTCTCACTGCTTCTGTTTGATTTTTATCCATTTGACCTGCCTCCACCTAGATCAAAGAAATTAAACAAAGGGCATTAAATGGATGCAATATTTCACACAAAATGTCAACCACCACTTCTTCTCATTTCAAAACACGGTTTTCATCAGGGTGTATCCTGATTGATTCTCCAACAAGCTCCAACCTTGAAACAATGATAAAATAGTCAAGATTTTTTTGAAGCACAAAGTAATCTGGTCCCTTTAACTTCAATTAAATGCATTTCTCTCTCATCAATCAGTATTTTCCTTTGCTCTCCTTTTTTTACATTCAGTCCCAAGACGTATGTTACATTTTCCTGAGATATTAATTTAAAAAATATTTAGGAAAAAAGTAGAACTTGAAGGTAAGATTTAAGATTTCTGTGAATAGACATATGGGGTTTTATTTTGAATAGTAAATCACACTGTGTAGATGGCTTGGCTGCTATAATAATTCTGTGCCCTTTTTCATCAAAATAACTGTGGGCAGTCTGCCCACTGCTGATGACCAGAGGGACAATCATATTTCACTTCAGCCTTCCTGCTAGTTCATTGGCCTAAACCTGTGTTTCTTGAACAATGGGTCAGTTTATGATTTGTCTATAAGGCATTTCTCATCCTAAATCGTACCTGTGCACATTTGGACAGAGATGCCGCTTTTAATGATTTTTATAGAATCATAAAGTTGTTGCTCTTGTACTGAGGTGGATTCTCTCTTTCCATCCAATCAAATTTGATGAAAAGAGACTATTTCTCTGAGATTGAAAAAAAAAAAAAAAAAAAGATGAGCAATTCCGGTATCCTGTGTGTTGGTGGATTTTAGCCAAGAATGTGAGGAAGGGCTGGAATGTCAGCTATGCATCTGTATGAAATGAAATGACTAATAGTCTATTGAAGCTGTGGAGATTCATGAGGTCTGCTATTGACAGTTTCAATTCCACCACACACAATATTTTCAAGAATTAAGACATAATAATTTAAAGCTTAGATATTGTAGAATTTTCTTTCTTAAAGATTATACCTCCACTAAATCTATGAACTGACTCTCTTCATGTAGGCAATTTAACAAGAATAAATTTTTTTAATAAAATTAATTTTAAACTAAACAAAAGTTTAGCTAAGGCAATAAATGTAGCTATTTCTTAATTAAAGTTAGTATGTAAATATTGTATTTATGAGGTTTTCTAGCAATCCAATATATATCAAGAAAAATATGAAGAAAACCCCCAAAATTCAAATATTATTTTTAAAGTAATATTTGCAAAATGATTTATTAACCTGAGGAAGTGGTTATATATAAGGAAAAAAGAGACCAAAAATTTTGAAATATGAACAAATCTAAATACATAGATAAATTAAACTGTAAGCAACGAGACTAAAGGAAAAAGCAGAGAAATATTTATTAATGTTGACTGACAATTGGGTCTTTTTAATTTTTGAAAGTTTCTCATTTTCTACAATGAGCTCAATTATTTTTATAGCAAATATGTAAACTTTCTTTGATTTTATATGGTTATGCATATCCATAAGTCTCATGAATTGCTACTTAATTTTTATATGAAAAAATTGAATAATTGGGATTTGTTCATTTTTTGCAACTGAGCTACAAATTTACAGTTACCAAATATCAGGTAAAAATTTCCCTTAATTGTAATCCATGTAATTAGTTTTGAATGTAGTAGTTGTTGTCTAGGTATAATATCAAACAACCTCAGATTTATTAAAAGCAAATTTTAATAATGGTTTTGTTATGCAAGAAATACTTCACTTTTTAATTTTCCATGTTTTAAATTTTTTATTACAAAAATGATTATTGCCTAGATCTGAAAACATGAAGAAAATAATCATCATCTAATGCTAAGAGGAAAACAAAGGATACTTTAGCTAGCCATATAGTCCTAAAACCTTTTCTGAATGCATCATTTGATTTTATAATTGATATTAAACTTGCAATATTATGTACTACTGAAAAATACACAATTACCATTAAATACTGGCTCTGCAAATGGGTAAAGATGACTGGAACATGAAGTAAGGTATTCAGTGCAATAGACTTTAAGTCAAACAATACAAACCTTCTGTTTGTAGAGGCTAGATTCGTAGGTCCTGCTGTCACAGATGACTGGAATACTAACTGTAAAACCACTCAAGATACTACAGCTCAAGAAAATAAATAAAATAGATGGAATACCCTGGTTACACTGGCCATCATTAGGAACTTTTGATGTTTAGGGATTTGGGGATTCAGGTACTCACAATCAAATCACATGGGGAATCATTAAAAAAAAATAATCACAACCTTTCACCACAAATGGAACACAGATGTGTGTGTGTGTTGGAGTGATCATGGGATGTGACAGTAAAAGAAAAAAATGATAGTTACATTAATGTCTCCTGGTTTTATTGAGTGGTAAGTTCCCTGACCCACAGGACAGAGATTGATGGGACAGATGCAAAGTGAACATTTAGGGAAGTATGGAGAGAGGATCCTTGCCAAAGCCCATGCCCCTTAGCTTTTGCTGTTTTTCTCCACATGAAGCGCTTTCACTAGTGATCATTTTTTACTTTAGATTTTATATATTTTATATTACCAAGTTACAGAAAACTATAAAGTACAAATAAAAATCTCCCCTTTCTTCCATTGACAAAACCATGCCAGTGTGGGGAAGGGGAGGTATAGGTGGGAAGAAAGAGAAGAAAAGAGAACGGAGGGAAAGGGATGGGGAAAGAGGAGAGAAGGCAAAGATTCATGGATATATACTTTTATGTACTGTATGCAGCTCTCATTCTTTTGTAACCGATTCATAATATTTTAAAAACATGGATATGTTATAATAAAATTATTGATGGGAATGTAGAGCATCTATTATTTTAACAATACTCAAATAATAATGCAATAAACAAGTTTGGATTTTGAATTTCAAATTATATTTCTAATTCCTTACACATTTATTGAATATTTATAAGAGACATAGATGGAAAATGAAATTTATAAGACAAATGTTAACAATATTTTTCCTCCTGAAAATGCTGCTCTAATTTACACTCCACGAGTAAAATATATAGTGATATTTTTACACTGTAACACTGGATAGTACCAAGCTTTATTTGATTTCTTTTTGAAAACATTCCATCATTTATTAGCTACGTTTCCCTATTAAAATAGTTACAAATTTAGTATAAGCAACATGGAATTTTGCATAAAATGACAACACACCTTAATGTAAATATTTTGCATCTCATTGTATTTTACAAATTTAGGTTTAAGTCATGTGTATATTAAATCATTGTAGAGATGATTTGTACAATTCCACTTATTTTTAATGTGACAGAGAAAATAGACAAGAATAGAAAACCTCCATTTTTCTAAATGAAGCAACAAAGCATAAGACCAGTTTTCACTATCAGAATTCAATGTGGATCTCTGCATTCTAGGTGTTTTTTCTGTTTTCAGGTTATTCACCAGCTAATAATTAAAAGGTTATTCCCACAAAGTTCTTTATTGCTACTGGAAACAGTCCACTTCATCCATATTCCATTTATCCTTTTTGAGCCTATGCCATGACTTGTAAGGAGAGTTGATCTTTTTTTTTTTTTTGTATTATTTGCTTTTGAGATAACATTGGTTTACAATACTGTGTATGATTGAGAAGTATAGGTTCACACCTCTTCAGATGTGTATTACCACATCACACCTACCTCCAAAGCACCCATATATTGGACCACCTCCATCCTTTGCTCCCCGCTTTGCCCTACTCCCTTTAGTAGTTGCAATTCTAAAATCAGATTTCTAAGATTTCTTTTGGTTTTGTTTGTCTGGACCCTTGATTTCTTCTTTCTATTCCCCTTACAAATGAAATAATCTAGTGAAATAATCTAGTATCTTCTCTCTTATTTGCTAAGCATAACCACCTCCAATTCCATTCTTCCATTCATGTTTGCACAAATGGCAGCTCATTTTTTTTTATCACTGAGTAGTATTACATTGTGTATATATACCATGTCTTCTTAATCCATTCATCTGTTATTTGGCACATAAATTGTCTCCATAACTTGGATATTGTAGATAGAACTGCAATGAACATAGGAGTGCATATATCCCGTAGATTTAGCATTTTGCTTTTTTTTTTTTTTGTAAATAAGATTGGAAGTGTTGGATCATTTGGTAGATATATTTTTAACATATTGAGAAATTTCCATACTACTATGGAAATGCTATCCACAGGGGCTGGACTACTCTACATGCCCATAAACAGTGTACAAGTGTTCCCTTTTCTCTACATCCTCTCAACACTTGTTGTTTCTGGTCCTTTTGATGAGTCTTCTCACAACTGTGAGGTTGTATCTCACTGTAGTTTTGATTAGCATTTCGCTGATGGTTAGTGATAGTGAGCAGTTTCTCATGTGCCTACTGACCATCTGATGTCCCTGTTAGAGAAGTACCTATTTAGCCCTTCTGCCTATTTTTTTTAAAGATTTATCCATTTATTTATACAAGCACTGGGTACTGTCAAAAGCATGGGAGGGTGAGAGAATTCACCAGAGCCAGAGGGGAGAGCAGAGCAGGCAGATTGATGAAGTACACTGCTGAGGGGAGGAGCGGGCGCAGCAGGAGGGGTCTGCGCGCCATGTGGGACCCTCGCCTGGTGGCCGGGGATTGAACCAGTGCTGCAGAGGCTGTGGGCAGCTTCACAACCCAGCACTCAACCGCTGCGCCACTGGGGAGGCCCTCTTCTGCCTATTTTTTGATTGGATATTTGTTTCCTTTATTTTTTTGAGTTACATGAGAACTTTGCATATTAGTTCCTTGTCAGATGTGTAAACATTTTCCCCACTTGGTAAAGTGTTGATTCATCTTAATGATAATTTCTTTCATTGCACAGATGCTTTTTAGTTTTATGTAGTCTCATATGTTTACTTTTGCTTTTGTTTCCCTTGCTGATGGAGTCAGGTCCCCAAAGATATCCATGAATAATGGAGTGTTTTGGTATCCCTGAAGCACTGTATTTTGAC